GGAGAAACTGAGGCACAGGGAAGCTACCCAGCTAGGTGACAGAGCTAGGATCAACCTTGCTAGTCTGGCTCTATCTTTCAAGTTTGTCCCCACAAGCCACATTCTACATGATAATCCCCTGTGATTCCCAATTCTCATATCCTACAAAAGTGAACAACGGCAAACGTCTTCAGACAGTGCCTTAGACGTGGTAGGGACATAATAAAACTTTATTCACAGTCCTCCTGCAACACATTACTTGGAGTAGCTTTCTAAAACTGACTATATAAAATCAAGATCAAATATTTTCCAGGCCCCCATCATCTACTCTCCACTTAGTCTTGACCTCATTCTTATTAATTGCCAAATCAATGTTTTTCTTCCAAATACACTAGTAGAAAATATTCACACTTTAATGTCTTTGCACATGTAAATTCCCTTATTTGGAATGTTGGTCTTCTCCATTTTGCATCCATCTTTGTCAATGATCTTTTTCAAAAGTATCCAATGCAAGGATGATTTTTTTTTTTCATTCAACTGGTTTTGGCCTTTTCTCTAACACAGCACCAGGGCACCTGTGGATTGAAGTTGCTGATGTGCTTAGCGCCATTGGATTTTGTTTCCCATAGCTCTTGCAGTGTGATGTGTGAGCTGACACACGGGAGGTGCTCAAGAAACCCTCACTGGATTCATAAAGGAGTGTTAAGTACCATAGACTTTCCACTGTCAGACACCATGCCTTGAGATAGCCTGTCATGAAACTCTCTCTTCCTCCCCTGAAACACAGATAATGAAATATATTAATTCATCAGCCTGGTAAACAATCCCAGTCTCTGCAAAGGAACTACTGTGATATGAATGAAAGCCATCAGTGAACAAGATATTTCTGGAATAGTGTTTGGTGCACAATAAGTTCCCAGTAACTACTTATGGAAGTGAATTTAAAGATCAGCTTTTCTTTCACAACTGCCATACCCTATATCAACAGGGCAAAGTTTTCCAATAGTAAAGTTTATAAGCAAAAGTTGAAGAGCAGCCCAAATCAAATACAGAGAAAGTTGTTTGACCCATTTTACATGCTGTGCTATCCCAAAAGGCTTAGGCCACTTTCTTCTTCCTGGAGTTCTCAATCTGTCAACTGCTTAAGTTAGTTAGGCCTATCCCCCCTCTCCACTCCCCCCTTACGAGGTGTTAGGGGAACCTGCCCAACACAGGGCACAACCTGAAGATGGTATTTGACTTCTTAATGGATAACAGGATCTAAAGCTACCAGTGACAGTCATTCTCCACTCTGTGGATCTTTTTGAAAGAAAAATAAAAGAAAGGTAATCAACAAATAAGTTATACTTTATCCAGAAACGGCCTGGAATTAGCATAAAAGAAAAACTAAACGTCACAGTCAGAGGTGACACTAATTCTGAGAACTCCGTATAACAAACAAAAATGCTTTTCTACCTGCCCCAATCAACTCACAGATAATAAAGGAAACTTTGGGAAATTTGCTGCTCATCTGGATTTTTTTTCCCTCCAACAATACTTTACATACTATGAATAAAATGTGCCCGACTACTGTTGTGAGACGCGCCTCTGTCCCTCTGACCCAGGCACCTCCCCGTGCATTTAGATCTGCCGGGTGACATATGAGATCTAAAGTGGGTGGATAAAAATAACCTGGTCCTCAAAAAGACATGATAAACGCCAGACAGCTGAGTCACTTTGAAGTCCATTTTGACTCCTGAAAGGGACATTCCACCCTGCTTCTGCCTCTCACACATTCACATACGACCAGGTGAAAACCCCCACCACCCGCCGTGGGTGAAAGGAAGGTAGTGACCCGTCTTAACTCCCCTCTCCTGTCTCTTAGGTCACGACTCCGGACTGAACTTTTAATAATATAGTAGCGCATGTCAGCCTAAGCGCCTCATTTAGAAGGCAAAGTTGGAAGGGCTTAAGAAAGCCATCATAATCCAGCAGGAGGTTCCCTAGTTCTGCTGCCCGAGTGGAGGCACCCAAAGGTTTCTTGTGACATTCTAATGGCAAGAAAAAGAGTGGAGAGAAATGGGAAGTGCAGGAAGAAAAAGCTCAGAGAGGAAATCAGAAATGCCCAGGAGTGGGGATCCCCAGGCAAAGCAAGCTGTCCCAGAAAGAGGCGGGTTGTGCGTCCAGGGGGTGCGCGGAGGTTCAACCGGTCCATCTACCCGCCCTCCGCTCTCGCCCCGGGGAGGACGCAATCTGCACCGAGCAGTTGCAAACGGGGAACTCTTCTTTCAAACGGTGGCGGGGCTGTGGGCAGGCTGCTGGCCCTCGGGTCCGTTCAGCCCAGGGAGCAAACCACCCTCACGACCCCGGCTTCAGCGGCGGCAGCCGTGGGGCGCTCACTCAGTGTGTGCCGAACTGCAGTGTCCCCGGGCCAACTCCGCCGGAGGAGGAGGTCCCCGGCTGCCGCTGCGCATCTTCTCCCCCTACCTCGCGAGCCGCCCAGGCCGCCGGCACCGCGACCCTCCCAGAGGCGCCTCACTTACTGGGGAGTCGTAGGAGAAGGCGCACTCGTTCTTGTAGACCCTGTCCCCAGACCTGGGCACGCGGATCGTGGGCATGTGGGGCACCAGCAGCTCGCCGATGTCTCCTGCAGCCATC